ACATGTTTGTTTTATCAGATATATAACCATTTACAGAAGTGAATTGTTTCCTACCATTAAAGTAGTTTTTAAACCATTTAAGTGTGGGTTGACAAAAACCAGACGTTTCATATTTTTGCCAATACTACAGGATTCATTCATTTCCATTGATCCACGGGATGGACACCCTTTTCAGGTCGATAATTACTAGACCAACAAAATTTCCACAATCGATTGATTTCAACCATTTTCCAGTTACATTTTAAAAGAGCGGTTTGCGTGGAATACATGGGCCTAAATCCTGATGGACGACCATATTATTAATGTTTCCGTTAAAGAAATAAGAAATATAAATATCAAATATGACCGGCCTTTTCTTTACATGTTGCGAAAATATGAACCACCAAAATTGGGATATATATATTTCCATACAAGTTTTATCACCTCCTTTAAGGATTGAGTGACTCTTGCGCAGTAGCTACTAGTAGGTGCAATACCAATACGCATTGTAGAGGCTGATTAAGAATGTGTATTAAAGACCGTCTCCATTACTTGGCCAGAAGGGATTAGACCACACAGCGAGGTCACTGACAGGTGGCTATCTCATTAACTCAACTCTCAACTAACATAAGAAAAAGAGGATCATGGGGGACCAAGAGGCACCGATTGGGGAAGTTTTCTATATAGAGGGAGCAAGTAGCTACAAGTAGGACAGTTTGGCTTTAATGGGAACATTACAATCATGTTTTACGTAATCCGAATGTGATCTCTATTAGGTATAGAGTCTTGTTTATTCGAAGGTTTATATGTTTCCACTAATATATTTCTCGTACCGTTATTTTAAAATGGTCTGTCACATATTACCGATAAACGATAACGATAATCATAACTATAAAATTGGTGCACATATTTGAAAACGTATTTAATCAGATGAAATGTGAGCTGAAGGCTCATCAACAAAAGCCGTATTTATAGTTATATTTGATATTTACAATTCAGGGGCGATATGTGACCGCCGTTAAAGCTGTTATCAAAGCCGATGTAATGTAGTATTCGATTGTAGCCGTGTGGATTCTGTAGCAACACCATTTTTCTAACAACGAAACCCCATCAGGGTTCAGAACGGCTGCTTTCTTTATACAGATCTTGTCGCGATATGGTATAAATATACTATTTTTTCTGGTAAAAAGATAATATTGATCTGCCACTAATTTGTGAAATCGCCGGGTAGAGGGAGGACGAAAAAGCACACAGAGGCGTATAAAAACAGCCATTAGTCTGTGGATATACACTCTTATTAGTTCGCCTTTCAGCAAACCCTAGGTAGATGATACAAGGCTTTATTGGATGAAATCTTTGAAAAATATGTCGAACTTATTGTGGCTTTTCCTTTACCTTATTTGAAAAGACATTAAAGTTTAACTGTGTTTATTTTTTCCGAGTAACACGTAAGTGTGGTTGGGGTGTGTGTGCGCGTGTGTGCGTTTGTGTTGACGATTTTCTGTACATACAAAAGCTACATCTACGTTAATGTCCACATACTAGATGTAAATATTTGTTCTAGGTTTTACTCTTGACTTAAGACTGGTGTTGAAATGTTATGATATTTTATAAAAAATATATGCAAGCCATTAACGGGGATTTGATTGTCATAATGTCACAAGAGATTCTACTAAGTCTTTGGTCCATTTCGCTTAATAATCGTTTTTTTTTATCAGCGGACAAAATAATCTGTTAATGTACGTAATCTGTATATGTACGGCATTTACAAAATATGAAAGAGATGGACATGTTGTATCATGTCGAAAACAGAAGCCGTAAACTACAAACTAATGAAGACTATAGCAAAGGAAACGAAACGAATTGGGGGTGGAGGTGTGTTGTCTTTGTTTCTATAAAATTGTACGGTTGAAACATTTAGGTATTTTTTTTAAATGAGCAAAGTCAGAATTGTAGTAAAAAAAACAAGAACGTTTTACTAAAGAATAATGTGTTTCCATTTTCATCCTTATGCATGGAATAGGGATGATAAATGTTGATAATTTTTCGCAGAATGATGCAAACATAATAGGAGGACAAAGTTCAGTGTCCAGGACACTTTAGGTTGCTTCATCATCTCATGCATTAAAAACAAACGTTGAAATAATAGATGACTAGCGTACTTGGACTAGTTTTCACACCATTTATACGACCCCTCATTGATAGGCTGGTACACCTGCACTCATACGCACACTCACAATTCTGACCATGTTCTACAATTCAATAATAAAGAGTCTCTTGCTTTTCAATATAATATGTTCATTTGGAAATCTCTCAAAACAAGACAAGAAGAAATTGGAAAGGCCACGTAAAATAGCACAGCGCATAATTGGGGTAGAATTAGCTTTTGTCGAGTCTCATTATACTGAGCAAATTGTTGATAAGGTCTGTGCAATCAAGAAAGACAATACCCACCCACTTCATTTATTTTATTCATTTAATCGTTCCGACTTCAAGTTTCAAGTTTCAAATTTATTTCACATTTCACAAATAACAAGAATTCACATAATTGACAAAATTAGAACATAATATGAAATATACTAAAAGTGTCACATTATATAATTAATTCTTTGAAAAGACGTCGAAAATAATTGTAATGAATAGAAGGTTGTATAGAGTGAAATGTGAGGAACCTATTAAAAAGCTCAGCTTCGTCCCACCTAACCTGCCTTTCACGAGTCTGATATTCATTTGTTACCGACTCTGTTCATCAATTCAACTCACAGGTTAAACGTTAAACTTCTGCGTCGGAAATTAATTAATACTGAAACTATAATGATTTGAAATTACCAAAGACCAAGGCTTAATTCTGAAACTCATGATTTGAAGTACCAATGACCACTTTTGTCGCTTCGTTATTTTTTGCATGTATTTGTTCCTTATTTTTTATCTATTTCTATAAAACTTGTTTCTTGTAGTGATGTATTTTCTTGAATATCACTGTAACGCCATTTCTATGTAACTTGTTTTCAAAGACCAGATAAAATATCTTTTATCTCGTATATATGCACGCTCTCACACTTGCACATACCTCCATACTAGAAACCCCATTTGTAAACAAATTTAAATCATATATAGTTAGTTGGAATAGTTACCACATCATCTCTACGGCACCTCATCGATAGGCACGCACACGCAGATATGTACGCACTCACATATGTACCTCTATATAACCATGGACGATACGAAATTTATTTAGTAGTTATATCGCTAAAATGGAAAAAGGAATGGTTGACGATATGGGGGTTCGTTTCTAAGCATTTTCGGTTCATATATGGAATGTTTAAATTATTGTTGGTGATTTTTGTTATGTACTTTTTATTCAATATAATTTGGGTGATTACGTGTGTACGTAAGGAGAAAAATCACAATGACAACAGTATTCAGATTAAAAGTCTCATTTCAAACGTTGCAGATTATTCTGATTCCTTCATTGAATCTTACCAAAGTTTATAAGGTAATTGTATTTTGTGCGATCCAAGAGTAGCATACGTTTGGTAATATTTTAGCGGTATAAGGCGTATCATTTTGGGCTTCGATTGCACATCCTATGATTATTATATCATATGCATATATAAGATTTTCATCTTTTCTTTTACGATTACTTTTTTTCTTTCATATTCATCAAAAACTAGGGTACCGGTGAACTGGGCATGATATTTCTGTATTTTAAGATGAGAAGTTCACTTGTTCTACAAGCATTTTTCTTAATAGGCGAGTCGATGAGATAACTACTAGTATCGCATCTTTGATTTCATTTATACAAACTCTATAAGCTGATCATGCTTATAGAGTTTGTATCAATGACTTTCATACTCTTTCATGTTTTTCCAAACATACTTTCATTGCAAAAATTCGAATTGATCTTTACCAGAAACTGGTCCGTGGTGACCCTCAAAAGGACCCAGGTGCCAGTACCCATACCCCCACATCCAGGACACGTCACTGCGTCCAGGTGGCCTACACGTGACTACTTATGCAATCCAAAATTACACTATAGAACAAAGACGATAATGTTGTAAATATTAGCTATACTGTTATATCTGTTAAGGTATCGGTCGAGCGAATTTAACACATTCCTGTGGTTAAATTCACAATCCCAGATTTGAGATGTTCTTGTGGTCCGGAGGCACTCGACAATGTTTGTCATGTCTGTGAGCCACGTACATTTCCATCTTAAAGAAACAAGCTGCTAATTGACCATTTGTAGCTTTGCTCTGTGCCTAGGAGAAATTGAAACAAAGAAGGCTGATGATATTGTAATGGTGCATGTTTTGTCTAATTTCACTCACACTATTTTCTGCGTGGTTGTGCATTCGAAAGTTGGTATAAACTCTACAGCTGATCTTCTTTAGGTGCATGATTCCTTTTTATTTTAACAAGAAAAAGATAACATATCTGGGATCATTTCCAGAGCACAAAACGTGTATTTGAACTCTGGAAAGAATGAAAGACATATACGTCAACTAGTTTTGTAATGCAATATTCGTAAATTGAAAGAGGAGGCGAGTTGGCTAGAGGAGGCGAGTTGGCTCAGTCGGTAAAGCGTCTGCCTGTCGAACCAAAGATAGTGGGTTTGAATCCAGCCCAGGTGGATGACTGAGAGCCTGCGTTTTTTGTTAACTTGCCCCTCCCCTGTTTCAAAGACACAGGCTATGTTAAGTGGAAAACACTCCGTCCCTAAGAAAGGAAGTTAAATTAAGATTCCGTGTAGAGGAGAGACACCACATTTGTATGTTAAGAACCAACTGCACTATTCGTATAGGATTAGGGGGAAACCCCGGTATAGTGGTCCACCTGCACACCCCCAATAAGTTATACCAGGAGGAGAGACCCGATGGTTACAGTGATTCAGTTCCTGTTTTGCTTCTCATGTAAAGGTGATACCAACTCTTAATAATATTAATTGATATAATGAATTGATCTCGTGTATTTTTCATGATAACATTTGTATTAACAATTCTTTCAACACTATTTTTCAGCAATCGTCAGAGATTGATGATATAAGATACGAGGATCTTGTGGACACCAATCAAAGGAATTCGGCCGATTCCCCAAGTCTGGAGGAGCTGTTGGACAGCTTACCGTTTCCTTGGAGGAGAAACATATACAGGGTGAGTAAAAAAATTAAAATTTAGAAAAAGACGAGAAGAAGAACAAATCTGGAACCTCCAGACTCTTGTTTGAAGAGTAGAAAGTCTTACATAATTCATTTTATATAGATAAATTGATCAGTTCGTGATCAGTACCGGTTCTAGTCGGAGCCCCGCCCCTCTCTCCCCCCAAAGCCCCCCCCCCCCCTTAAACACATACAAAACCTTCTATCTCTGATCCAGTTCGTGAGATGGTAAGAAATTAATATCTCTAAGCTTGCTTAGACTTTCCTGATGTCACCCTGAGGGAACAACTATCAGGGTCAGGGCAATGTTAAAAGCTTTAGGTAAACGCTGTGTATTGAATACACTTCCTGAAAAATCACAATCAAATAAAGGTAAGTCTACGTCACTTCCACTCGTGTGCAAAGAAACGAGTACCATTACCCAGCTGTTTCAGCACCGTGATCCTTGCTCTATCGTATTGCTTGTTTTGTTCATGCTTTCTGCTATCACCGTCAAGAACCAGGGCGGCAATGACCGATGGAGACTTCACTTTTATTTTCCATCCCGCCACGTCAAAAGCTGATATATACGACAAGACATATTATTATTGTAGGTCAGTCGTGGTATTCCTTTGCATATGAATCCGGTTACAGCAAGACGGATTTCTTGAGATTTTATTGGTTGCGGAATCTCGACCTTTTAAAATGGGTTAGGCATGATATGAAGGTCGATTAATCTCTATTCTGTTGGGAACATTGAAGGCTTCTAGATCGGAAGCTTCGGCATATTACAACCACTTCAAAATACACTGTTTGGCAATGACCACAACCATTGGACATCAGCTTTCATTAAGGTGTTTATTTAAATGACTTTTTACAAAAAGTTATCGTAGGTATATTTGCGAAGAAACCTGTATCTCTTTCTCTCTCTCTCTCTCTCTCTCTTAATTTTGTCCTTAATGTACTGTATATTATTCACAAGATTTGAAACGATTTATGAAATGATTCTTACCAATGTAAATCACAATTCACCGATTCTCAAAATATATCGACGCTTTTTACTGCATAGCAGAGATTAAGTGTTGGGTTGGTAGCCTTTTAATAGACTTCGAACGTTTATGCATTACCACAAAATGTCAATTTAACTTAAATAATTGATCAATAATTATCCATTTCGGTCAAGTACTTTTCAAAACATGCAACTAAATGTAGAATGCTTTATTCATGTCGGATGTTTTGTGGGGGTCATGATTGGATTTGCGGTAATTTAGTGCTAAATGGAATGTATCAATGACACTATATGGCACCCATAACTGAAGCGAAAGTTTTAGCGCACAAACCATCATTTTCATTTCTATTTTAGCATGTAATTTTGCATTGTGTGGTAGAGAAGTGCGTACTGGTGCTTTAGATGTTTCTATTTGACTTCGAAAAAATTGTCAATAGATCCGAAAGAGCAAATTTCTGTGGCATTCTTTTCAAAGTAATCATGAAACAATTTAGCATGTTTTTTTTTTATTTCATCTTTTTATTATCCATTTGAAAAGATAAAAGGTGTGGTAGGTAAAAGCCTATAACCTTCTTTATCTTAATCCAAAAAATAAATTCTTTTGAATATGCTATTAAGATACTCACGATATCATATTTGAAAATCATTCTTTGATCTGCTGGCTGGAAGGTCACATGTAAATATTGCATTAAAGGGATCAACTGTGGATTTTGGTTCGTTTTAATCGATGAATAAATCAGTATCAATTGCTTTTATTTGTATGCAAAAAACGCCGATGGGTAAAGGAAATTATACGATTGAGGTTATTTTGCCCATTTAAATTTGCAGAGAATTTTATTCATTTGAAAATATAAAAGGTGTGGTAGGTAAAAGCCTATAACCGTCTTTATCTTAATCCAAAAAAGAAATTCTTTTGAATATGCTATTAAGGTACTCACGATATCATATTTGAAAATCATTCTTGGATGTGCTGGCTGGAAGGTCACATGTAAATATTGCATTAAAGGGATCAACGGTGGATTTTGGCTCATTTCAATCGATGAATAAATCAGTATCAATTGCTTTTATTTGTTTGCAAAAAAAACGCCGATGGGTTAACTTGACATTTTTTAAAGGAAATTATAAGATTAAGGTAATATAGCCCATTTAAATTTGCACACACCCACACACGCACGAGCGCGCTTTCTAAGGCATGTGTGAAAACATGTACCTGTATAGTAAAGTTCGAAGTGTCAACTAAACAATGCCATTTATGTAACGATGTATTTCGGCCTGACTGTTTTCATCTCTTTAAAAATAATTGAATGTTTTCATTTCAAACTAACATCATGATTTATATAATCCCTTTCCTGATTGACGGTTTTTGACGTAGCATAAAGCGAAGTCATTGATTATTGTGTTTGAATTTCAACATTAAAACAAAATAACAAATGACAAAGCCTCATCTACAATAATGCAATTTGACACCAAAGGATATAAACTGATGACATAGTCAGAAGTGATTGACTAGTGACCCGAATAATGTTTGTCAGGGTTGTGTTTGAGTGATTTGTGAGGAAATAAACATCAAAAGTGTCGTCCTAAAAGGTTTTAGTTGCAGGAGCATGAAATGACAATAGAGCTTAGGGTATGAAATTGATTGATGTATATTAATGTTGTACTTGACAATCTAAAAATTACTTAAATCTAAGTATTTACGACAGAGATTCATTTCTAATCAAACTTTTCACTCTTCAACGCATCGATGCTGAGTGTCTGCAATCGGAATTGAGTTGTATCTTCTGCCGAAGGTCGTTAAAAGAGCATTTGTCAAAAAAGTGTTCCTTATTCGTGACATCTATATCAATTATGTACAGATCTTCTGGTCCCTGAGCGGTAATTTGTGAATTAGGGCGATGTCATTTAGTCAAGGATGCGTAATATTTGTTGATATTTGCACTCAAACATAAGTATGATGGTTCACCTTCTCATTTCTTTCGACATGAGCGTATACGGCGTCTTTAATCATTTGCAAAATCAATGATGTTATCAACCCGTGGTATTAGGAATTTTTTTGTCTTAATATCACAGATTTACAGATACTTAATATTTAATATGTATACACTTTTCAGGTTTGCTTAAAATGCTTCTCAATTTCTTTTCATGATGTGAGTTATCATTTCGAATATATGTAAATGAATATTTGCATTTAATCTTTATATTTTTGTTCAGTCATGAATCTATTGACCTGTCTCTTAAAAATAGAAATGACATTGAAATATTGATATCTACTAAGATGAAAACATTATGCAGAATAGTTAGAAACATAGACAGGCTTAGGTTTGTTATTTTACATCATTTGTCAAATTGATACCCCCCCCCCCCTCTCTCTCTCTCTCTCTCTCTCTCTCTCCTCTCTCCTGTTCTCTTTCTTTGTGTGTACTTAACTAGATTATAAACGTTTGTATTATGATTTTATGAAGCCTTTTATGGGGAAATCGCTTATCTATTACTTTTGTTTGTGTGTGCGCGTTACTGGAAATTTAGATGATATGCTTTAATGCATTTTTTTCCTTCTCTTCTCTCTTTGTCTATATTTTTTCTGCAGTTGATCCAGGAGGCAGAGATGGCAGAGCTAGAAAACTTCTTATAGTCACCACGCCATACTTTCCTCTTTGTATGGCAAGTTCTATGAAGAATCATCCAAGAAAACGACATTGGAAATAAATCCTGGCATCCTTACAAAACAAAGGCTGGGAAACAAAACATACAGACAGACACACAGAGAATTACATCGACCGTGATCGCGTGTAGTACCTTTATTTTTGTTGAGTCGTTTCGGTTGTCTTTCAAATAGAAGAAAAAATGTAGAATATTATAATCATCTAAATTATTTCAATCCTATAGTACATAAAATGTATTTATTTATCATTCCCCTTGCGTCACTATCAAGTGCTAAAATCCTTTAGCCAGTTTTATGGAAGATACTCCGGAGATTTCTAAGGCATTTTTATTGCACAAAAACAGAGTAAGGATGTGGGAATGGTCTTATCATATTTTGTGATAATGCTGTGTGAAAAATAGAGAATATCGATAAGCCAGCTGCATCTAACGACTGAGATTATTAGCTTTCGTTTAGGAGCTATCAAGCTGTCTGCACCATTATGTCTTTATCTAGTTAGCATCATCGTATATCTGATTCATTAATCTATTAATTTTTACTGCGCCATGTCAGCTTGTCCAAACCCACTCGCACAGATGGCGTAACGCATTAGCCATATAACCCCATTATTCCACAAACTGTGATTTATTATGAACTACAAAAAATGGCGTCATACATCATTCTAATTGTTGCCTAACTGCTAGTGAAAGCAGTATTTCCCATAAGTTCAATCGAGTACGATGTATGAGATGTCATTGTTTTCACTGATATGAACATTAGTTCAGGACCCCGCAGTCATGGAAGGCTTTTTTACTTACCATAATCAATATAGATTATGAACTTTTATATTCTAGGAGTTCATTTTGGATCACAAAAATGATTGGGACACAAGACACATTTGTCGTTGATTATATCCCTGACGTCATGTTAGACATAATTATTTATGTTATAGTTGGGTTCGTATTATCTTATTATGAAAGTTCCTTGTATTATTTTCTAATTAGTGTAATTGAAAAGCAAGACTACCCGTAAATTGTATTTTCTTTACAAATTTAGCAGCGTGAATTTGTGAGAACCCTAAATCATTGTAGAAAAAAGTTCTTTGAAGTTGCATATTACTTAAGTTTGTATATTTCTGATTTATAAACAGGATTGTAATTTTAAGGTCAAAAGCAAAGAATCACGAAATAAAAAAGTTCTCTAGACCTATTTTACCCATTGATCCATTAAATTAAGTTTAATTACAGTACTATTATGTATAAAGACAAGACAATCGCATTATTATATACACTACGATGCCGGTTATATACCTAGGACCTAAAACATGACGGACATGTCAAAATTATTTTGATATTTGTAGGTCAAGCTTTGACAAAATACCTTTACAAAATATTTTTTCAACGTAATAACAAGTGTTTTCCCCCTCTTTATATATTTAGAATACTCCTTAGAGGGATTTTTTATAACGATTCAGAACTAATCTAGGTGCAAACAAATCAGTTTCTATCAAGTATGCCAGGCTGATAATCCTAATCCTGTCAAATTATTTCAAGGTTGGGAGTACAAAATACTTCCAAAAAGCATAACACTTTTTTGCGGTCCATTTTTTGTGACACCTTAAAACAAGGCTTATTTTTGTGTAGTTCCATTAAAGTTACTATTAGTAATGTGATTTAATTCTTCTTTTTTTTTTTGTCGTATTCATTTAAACTGTTTCAGACAGCTTCAGAAAGATAGGTAAAATAACAAAAGATGAAATTCTTTTAAAGATACGAGATGAAAATCGAATCTGTATGAATTCATATAATTATAATGAGCGTATTTCACTGTGGACCTATTCAAATATTTTGATGTTAATTGCACGAATATGTTAATTGCACGAATATGTTAATTACCTTCTCAAGATAGAATGTGTGAATTTTCCCCTTCATCATTCTATTTCTGGTCATGCCTGTTACATTTGACCAATGACTTAAAGCTGCGGCGATTTCGAGAGGCCCAGGTATCACAATTCATCTACATTGCAAATTTCACGCTTCTTGAGGCATTTGACTACAATGTATTTAATATTAGGTACACTGGTAAAAATTTTGAAATCATTTTCAGAATATTAAAAATGGTGTTCCAGTTCGTGATGTTTTTTGTCCTTCGATCGTGATGGTCAAACAGAGGGTTCAGTATTAAGACATTACTTCTGTCGATGTTTGATATTTAAAAAGGGAATGCAGATATGTGTGTGGGGGCACGTTATTACGAATGCGTTATTCTGAATGGTCCTTCAATACCAAGGTAGTTAAGCTAATTCTAAATGTAAATTTTGTGTCATCCCAAATTACATGTGTTACATGTATATCTCAAAACATTTTTTCATTTCCAAAAACGGCAGAGAAGTACCTATAACTGCCTGATATACCGTTTTGAAGGAAACTATAACATGAATATGAAATATGATGTATCTTGTGAATTATATTGGAACAGTCGCTATAGGATCGTCTGAAATTATAGAAAAATTACATTCGATTGTGAAGCTTACAGAGATTACAACGTCATGAAATCAAAATGAAATCCTATACATTATAATACTAAGTATAGATGCTGGATTTCTATGATCTTTTTGGTATTATCTGAAAAGTTCTACATACAAATCCTTCCAGTTAACAATTGTACTTGTTTAAACTATGACATTTAGGAGAATTTGTTTTTCTCTGATGCCGATATATGACAATGACATATATGACATAAAACTAGTACCCACTCATAGTGCTAGAGTGAGTGAATTTAAATCTAAGAAAGAGGTTCAAATATCGAGTTAGAATGTAAATCTAAAATACAAGGTAGCAGGCAATGTGGGTCAGATACTAGTAAGGATTTCCCTTCTGTGACGTATCCAGAAATTAGTAAAATGAGGGTCGGAATTTCTCCCCTAGTGACGTGGACAGAATATTGAATTTTTTTCCCTGAGAGGCGGTGTATACCAGCCCCATCATATGGTGTAAGGGCCACTTGGTTGGGATTCTATTTATGCTCAAAACTTAAGATTAGGGAGATAGTTTAGTATATCTAAAAAGTTGTTAACCTTCTTTAGCACATTTAGATCCCATCAAATTTCTTATCATAATTCTATCATTTGCAAGAAATTATTCTGCATGAGAAGCGGTTAAATTGTGTCATGTTGCTATCTAAACAACTATTTCCAACTGTTGCCTCCTCCCCCACCCACCTCCTCTGGAATATATGAATTTACCCCCTTCATAGCAAGAATCATCATCATGGATTATATTTCCCTAAGCGATGAAGATTAGCCAAAGTTGATCTTTTTGCAATACTTGTGTTGTGCATAATGTACAAGTGTATTGACTTCAAGCCAACATAACTCTCTTAATTGATTAGTTGATTTAATTGATTTAATTAAATGTTCATACCTGCAATTCCGACAGAGTCAGACTGAAAATGGAACCAATCTCCTACAAGATGAATTATCAATTAGTTAATTTCACCTGATAGATTCGAAATTGACAAATTGGGTATAACGAAATGCATATGTATTTATGTTCCTTTGCGTTTGTTCGCACATCTTCGTCATTTCTATCCTTCTTTTCACTTTACCTCCCTTTCAAACAATTAAGAAAGCATAACAAATTTCATTAGTCTTGTATGAAAAAAAAAGACCCTCATCACAAACACAGGCAAATATTTGAATGAATAGTTTTCTGGTAGCTACATAGGGGTAGTATATTTAAGATGATAGAACATTCTACTCCAATCTTATGTTTCGGATGCTTGATTGTATTCCTATCAAATCTATGAATAACTTAATACCGTAATCCAGGCTGTTCTTGATTTCATGTATAAATTCCCCCCAATTCTATTTTGTATAGTCTATTTTGATAAGCATCCTTAAAAACCACTGAATTCGTGATATCCTGTTCTAATCTCTTCTTATTATTTCTGTTGACTGAGTTCAAAACTAATAATTGTCTTTTATCCCCAATCACAAGAAAGAAATTGATGAGGTATTCTGTTTATTGCAAAGTTTGTTATGTATATACAAATTGTTCTCAAGGAAAAAAAATGATCTGCCTGAATGTTATTGCCATAATTTCCTCCACGGACTGTTCAGGTAAGGGTGTTATTGTGTCAATTGGAGTAAAAAAAAAACTATTTTCACTGTCTCCTGAAGAAGTAAAGATAACTGAATAAATTTGAAGACAGGATTTGAGTCATAAATACTTAACCGAAGTACTATTTTACTTGTGTATATACATGTACGAAATGTACTGTAGAGATATTATGATTACGTAACACATCGAAGCCATCTTTGTTTTAATAAAGAAATCATAGAAACTGTTGAGTCATCGTCTTATTGTTACTATCTGTCCATGCACTGTAACTTTTATTCAGTATAGCTAGACGCTTTTGTGCTTCGTAGAATCAGATACCAGTCGTTATTCTCCTTAAAGTGCCTTACACGTTCAGTGCTAAATTATAGAGAATCAAAAAATAAAAGAATATTGCTGTGCATACTACGAAACAAAAGAGAAAACGAAAATCCTTACACGCTCCACCACTAGATCTCACTAATATATTTTGTTGGGAGAATATTTTGAGTTTATGGTGTCTCAGTCACAGTCTTTATTTTGAATTTTAGGGGGACTAGTTATAAATATATATATCTATATTATATACATGTGTGGTGTAATATAACGTGCAAAGGAAATGTACATTTTATCTCCAGTTTGTGTATTCTGCTAAAGGATGTAAGCTATAGTTGGCTAACCTAGTGTGTTGTAGAGAATCTTATAGAGCCATGTTCGTCGTTGATACTTATTTTCTCTCTATCTCTTCTTCTTTCACCTGGATGTAAATCATTGGCTTCGATTCTAATTAAATGATCAGTTTATCTGTAATTGCAATTCCAGAACAATTTCGCATTATTCTGTCACATAAGCTGTGGGTGAAAGTGAGTGTATTGACGTCATGGTGATGTCACCGTGGTATCGTAACATAAAAATTTAAAATATAATTTGGATCTAAATTATTGTTGTCATGGTATAGGTGTATCTGTATCACAATAAGTGGCTTCGAAAAGAACCAAATAAGAAACCAGGGCATTCATAGAAAATTTGTGTCTGCTTGAGTATACATATATATATATATATATATATATATATATATATATCTGCTCCGAACATATTTTTGAAAGGTATGGTATTTCCAGGAAAGCTTAGCTGTTTTTGTAATTATTCCGCTCCATCTTTTATATTCCGTTATCTTTTGACCCCCCCCCCCCCGTCCTCACTCTCTCTCTCTCTCTCTCTGTGCCTCCATCTCTCTCTCTCTCTCTCTCTCTCTCTCTCCCTCTCTCTCCTTCTCTGATTGCATGTTTGTCTGTGATTCTCTCTCTCTCTACATAATCTCTTCATACTCTACGTCTCACTCTGTTTCATTTTTTTTCTTTCTCTCTCTGGTTATAATACGCGTAATGAGGAAGTTTGTGTTAATGTGTAGGGGTGTGCGATGGTGTGTGTGGAGGCGTTAATATATATCATTCTATTTTTCTTTCTCTCTTTCTCTTTCTTTCTCTCTTTCTCTTTCTTTTTTTCTTTCTCTCTCTCTCTCTCTCTCTCTCTTTCGCTCCCTCTCTCTCTCTCTCTCTCTCTCTCTCTCTCAATCGCTCCCTTTCTGTACTTGCCTTTCATTCTTATCCGTGTGTTAACGTTGTCCATATTCTTCATGCTAAAACATAATACTTTGTATATCCGGGCGTAATCTTGAAGCAAAAGCTCGTCTCAGTCTTCATTATCGTTCTTACTCGGGAGGGTCAGTGAGATAGAAGAAATAATCCTCCAAAATCTTGATATCATTAATATAATCAAGTATTTTTTTTGTATGATCACAATCTCCTCCTATATCGAGGTTCTCATTCCATTGCCTATGGATAATTTGATCAAATTATGCAAGCGTGGTCAAAAAGATTTATATAAGAGTTACAATTTCCAAATTTCTCCAGGCGATGTACTTGGCTATTTTTACAAGATCTTTCAACTCTTCGGGTGCGATCGTGGAGATGATTATGTGTGGATATGCATTATTCATTATGAAATAGAGGGCATCCTGTTCCCTACAATATCACTATCACATTTAGGATTCGTATACCCCAAATAATTACTCTAATTGAGCCTAAGACAGTCTGGTGATTAGTTAGCTACATTTACGGAAACAAAAACTTTTTTTGTAATCGAGGTCGTGGGGGTGTTGGTGAATAGGGACTTTTAGATTTGTGTGGACTGATACGTGTGACGTCCATTCAAGGCAGTGCATTAAAAGGACGTCGATCGTAGCAATCCCCATTGTCTCCGTGCGAATCTAAAAGTCTCTAATAACTACAGCTGTTCAACGACACGGTTTTTTCTGACGGTTCAAGAGACTAGCATTTTCCGGTCTTGGGCGCCGTTGGTCAATTGTATCCAGATACGTCAGTCACTATCAAATGAAAATCTGATACTACATGTACGTAGCTTATAGTTGAGATGATGTGATAGAGAAGTTTGACATCTGGCGAAGGTGAAAAGCAGTATGTGAGCTTTCTCGTACATTCTATGTTCGTGTGAAAGAATATCGTGGTAGCAATGTTTCATAGGGTTAATACAAGTACTTTAATTATATTTATGTTCCTACTTATAAATTGTATTGTTTGGAAGAAAATAAATGTTCATTTGAATTGAATTGAATGAAAACAAATGGAACTAGAATATAATTGAGTAATTTAAAACACTACAGTAAGTTTATTGTCACATACATGGTCCCAAATACCCATATGACGTGTGCAGTGCACTTGATTTTTTTTATTATTTCGAAGATTTTAAAGCCTCACAATATTCATAAATAAATAACCTATTCAAACAACTTCAGGAAAGTTTATTTTCCCACTTCAATCCCATGAACAGAAACTCAACTTTTTATTTTATTTAAATGGAATATTGCTCTTTATTACCAGGTCTCAATTGAACAAAAAAAAAAAAAAAAAAAAAAATCATGTTTATTGCAAACTCAATACCGCTATCTCCTCTTCCTCTTACCGCCAATCCCATGATATATCCTCTGAAAAGTATCAAAACTGTAGAGAGAGGGTCAACCCTTACACCCCCCCCCCCCCCTCTCCATTTCAGTGTATGCGGATATGTAGATATTTTCCCGACCAAATAAATGTTTTTCTGACGGCAAACCTCTGTTTAAATTGAATAAAATATGAAAATATGATTCACCTATGAATTATGATTGATCCTCTTCAGTTTCTCGAAATATTCCCTAGGGCTCCCCTCCCCACACAAACACGCCCACACCAACATGCATTCAATCTTTAAGGTTTTCTGTACTAATGAGGCTGATGAGGTAATGTTGAAATGCTTTGATTTGCTCTATTCTTATCCTATTTGTAAGTAAATTCAAATTCCTATACATTATGTTCTATAGCCCTTTTACGATTCCACGTTCAAAAACTATTGTAACGTTGCGTTTTCGTACGTTGTTGTTGTTGTTGTCGTCGTCATCGTCGTCATTAGGTGTGGGTTCCTTGAAGAAACTTGAATTTGAAGGTATACCATAAGATATCACCATTCCACACTATTAAAATGCGGAGAGCAGTACAATACCCTGGAGAAATTAAGCACTACACTCGTTTATCCCGGATATGTCCGCAAGGTATATACAATAATGTTGGTAAGTTCTGGATTCTGAAATCCTAAAGGACAAACTGTAGCTTGATGAAGATAATAATACTAAATGTCATCAGGTATGTCAGCCCTCCAACTAGCAATGTTTTAAAAGTTATATAATGAGATTGTTAGAACCATGTCATTCATCTCCTTCCGTCGATTTTTTTTTAATAATTTTTTTCTTCAACGATTTAAAAAATTGAACATACAAGCTGTAAATGTGAGTTCCTATAATCCTCTTGACGCGGCAAAAGTTGTGAATGATGAGTTCTGGGAATTATGCATGGGAGGTTTTTCTTCCATTGCAGACATTTTTAAGTTCCCTAATCACTCATAAAAGTCCTTTTAGTTTGATTGCTTATACATAAAATGTCGTGCGGAACTACTCACTTCTTTCTACAGTTGTAGCTTATACTTCTTAAAATACCTTTAACACGAGTGGTTACCTCACTCCCTCTACGGCGCCACCACGTTACACCCACACATACTCCCCTCCCACCCATACACCCACCTGTACACCATGTGCGTCACGGAAGAACATCTACGGAGCAATCACCTTTTGGGGGCCTTCTTGCATTGTTTGTTTTCGTGATGAGACGACAATCTTATTAGACTCCATAAGGACGTTTGATGCCGCAAATTCCATTTGTACAGGAAATTCTTTTAGTTTTTGTTGACCGTGCTAATGAATTAAAAATTAAATCGCAAATTGGAATCAAAGTACCTCACCGGAAGACAGTGCCCGATCCTCCTCTGTTTTGGAATATTTCAGCGATAATTTTAGGATGACAAACTGGGGTATACCTTTATACCTAGTTCATTTCGCTTTTATTTGATTTCAACAGGAAACTCTCCGTTGAATTTTTGAGAGAATAAGGGGGTGGCAAATTTAGCGGATATGAACTGACCATTAGTCGCCCTTGTTATTTATTTATTTCCACAATCATTCTCCGTTTAGTCATACAAAAGTTACGCCATTCCATTCTCTCTCTCTCTCTCTCTCTCTCTCTCTCTCTCTCTCTCTCTCTCTCTCTCTCTCTCTCTCCTTCTCTCTCTCTCTCTCTCTCTCTCAACCTCCCTCTCGCAGTCTCTCGATTAATCCATCTGTCTGTCTTCTTTTTCTTCTTCTTATTAGTCTTCTCCTTCTTCTCGACTTATCTTCTCTTCTTTTCACTTTCTCGCAATATCTCCATATCTCTCTCTTTATCTATTTCTGTCTATCTTTCTCTCTCTTTCTCCCCCTCTTTCTCTCTCTCTCTCTTCTCTCTCTTTCTCCCTCTCTTTCTCTCTCTCTCTCTTTCTCTATCTCTCTCTCTCTATCTCTCTCCTGTTCATCACTTCTAGAAAAACGTATGTTGGTTTTGTTTAATTACAGTGACGATATGCTAGGCACTCTTTCACAAGTTGTGCTTCTAGGGTTACCATAATTTCTGTTTGGTTAGTAATAACTAGCTCACCGTCAATTCATCATAAGGAAGACAATAAATATCATTTGATAAATACTATTTAAGGACCTCACATGAAAGAACTTTATGTATCAGATAAGTTGAAAGAAAGTTAACTATTACGTGCAGTGAAACTTTCTAATTTTACTTATCTGTTGCAAGACAATGGGTTCTTTGCTTCATTAAACAAAATGTATATAATTATCAAATAAAGCTTTCAGAATTTTTAATCAAACATACATGTGATTCCTGAGAGATCGGGGAATATTGCTCCTTTTATTTCGATTTTTGTTGTTCTTTTCGTAATCTAAAATCTTTCGATAATCCCTATCATCGTATTGATATTTCATACTGATTACATGAAGTTACAAATATAAAATCAATAGGCCTACTGTGATCCGTAATGATGGAGGACAACGGTGTTTTGTAATTTGGCATCAAGAAAGTTAGAAATAGTTAATTCAACAGCAAAAACAATGACTTTTCGTATTATCATCACACCATTGAGTCCCCATGATAGCATGAAAACGTGTAAGAATGAATAAATATAGTTTACATATATCTTGTGTGTTTATGCAAATCACATTAGTTTGCACAGCAATCGATGATGATATTGTAGGCGTAGAAAAAAAGAAAGAACGAAAAAGATGTCACATTTCGACATATGTAAATAGATAAATCTTTTCTTATATATATAGTTGAGTGTTACTGAAATACTACAAAATATTGATTATTTTTTTAAGCGAGCGACAT